GGTCCCTTCCAATCCCCACCATCCTGTGATTTCTCTCTCGAGGCTGAAGGTCTCGTGCTGCACAGGTTCTCTCATTTAAAGATGTTTGTTTTCTTTCCCTGTGCAGTGCCAGAGCCTTTTGGAGGCGCGATCATCATTGGGCAGGAGTCTATCACCTACCACAACGGGGATAAATACCTCGCCATAGCTCCACCTATCATCAAGGTGAGTGACTACTGAGGTCTAGAACCATGTCCTGTGTGATTCCTCCATTCCCAGGTGACTCTCCAGAGTGCTGGTGGGATATTGGGCTACTGGTAGTCACGGATTTAAACAGCTTTTGTCTCCAGGTGTAGTTTCATAAAGCCACATGGAGAGGTTTGGTGAGTGTGAGTGTTTCACACGATGCCTGGGCTGTGTTTTTGGGGACTGAGGGACGTGTGTGATCCTTGTACTGGTGGCAGCACGTGCTTGCACTGCAGTCTGTTGCTCTGCTCCCTGCAGAGTGTTTGGAAACGGTGCAGTAAAGCTGAAATCTTGTTTGGCCCCCAGAGAAAGGGATGAATTAGGAGGTAGAACGTGGTTTGGGCATGGGTCCAGGCTCATGGTATCATTTCAGGCAGCAAAAGATATGAATGAACCCCTTGGAGACTTGAGTCCACCAGTGTATGACTGGGACACTTGTTCAAAGGGAAAAAGACTTAGAGAGTTTGTGACAGAAGTTGGGTTTGTGGGTTTTGTCAGAGGGACATTCCAGGACCAGTTCCCACATTTAAACAGTAGAGGAAACACCAATGGTGCGGCTGAGGCGCTGCTCAGGGCGGAAAGAGGGCTTGAGCTGTGATCAAAAGGTCCTTTTCAGGAGGAAATAATGTCAGGCTAGAAAAGAACTCTAAATCTGGGGTGGAGAAACACTTGCCTGAGTGCCTGCAAGCTCTCAGAGCTCCGCTGAGGCTCTGTGATGGAGTCTGTGGTGTTGGAGCAGGCGGAGCGAGTCATCTGTGCTCTGCTGACGTCCAGATCTGAGCCTTCACCTGCAAGCAGAGTGCAGGAGCCTCTGTACTCAAGACCAGTGGAGATATTTGTGTACAATCAAAGATCTGCAAGTTCAGGATTTTGAAACCAACCTCAGATATGTTGACAGAAGATGAGGCAGCATCCACCAACAGAGCAAAACGTCCAGAGATGGAGCTGGCTGGGAGCTCTGCAGATCCCCAAGAGCATCCCTACATCTATGGAAGTCCCAGCTTTAGGAAAACAGGTTTTCTGGTGGCATCTTTCCTGGGCTGTGGACAAGCTGGTGACAGATTTAATTTAGGAACCTGAAGTGGTTCCTAATGACCAAAAATGAGATCATTTGGCCACAGATTTGTGTTTTCTGATATGATTTATTGAAGGGTGAATCCAGCCCTCTCCCTCTGCTCAGGAGGAGCGCCCTGGCGTGGGACTTTGATGTGCTGTGGATGTGGTTGTTCCCTTCTGGGTGGACAGAGGTGGATCCTTGCTAGATGCCCTTTTTGGGGTGATTTCAACAAGTTCCTAAAAATTCTCTCCTCCTTTGCACGCAGCAAAGTACAATCGTGTGCCACAACCGCGTGGATCCCAACGGGTCCCGTTACTTGCTGGGGGACATGGAAGGACGTCTCTTCATGCTGCTCCTGGAGAAGGAGGAACAGATGGATGGCACTGTCACCTTGAAGGACCTGCGTGTGGAACTGCTCGGCGAGGTCAGGCTCGGTCCCATCGCGTGCGCTGTCCCTGTCACTTCTCACCATGGGGCTGGGAGGCTCCACAGGCTGGAAATGCTCTGCTGAGGGGCAGGATCGGTGTCTCTTCTGGTGCCCAGGGTGGGGTGATGTTTCCCAGTTGTCCCAGCTCTGGGAAACTCAGTTGCTGGGAAATTCCCTGTCTGGGCACTTGGAAGTTCACACCATTTTCCCAGGTTTTTTGCCTGGTGTTTGCACACTGTCCCCGCGAGAAGCTTGGACTGTCTGTGGGTTTTGTAAAGGGATTAAATTCCCCTCCTGTGCCCAGGGTCTTCCCGTTGGTTGTGGGGTGTGGCAGGGTCTTTTTCATGCTAGTGATGGTTCATCTGTGTCATCTCAATTCCCAGACATCCATTGCAGAGTGCTTGACCTACCTGGACAATGGAGTCGTGTTTGTTGGCTCTCGCCTTGGAGATTCCCAGCTTGTGAAGGTACCTGATGACTCTCTTCTGGCTTTAGTTGTGTGTTCAGCCAGAATTTTGTACATATTTCTTTTCACCATGGCCTCAAGAGGTGCATGTGGATAAATTGTCCTTTCTTCTCCTTGTCTGCCCTACACTCCATCCACTTGCTTGGTCTTGCTCGTTGAAAAGCCGATGATTATGTTTATTCGTAGCTCAACGTGGACAGCAACGAGCAAGGCTCCTATGTAGTAGCTATGGAGACCTTCACCAACCTCGGTCCCATCGTTGACATGTGTGTGGTGGACCTGGAAAGACAAGGCCAAGGGCAGGTAACGTTGATTCTGCTTTTCTTTGCTCAGAACTGAGGATATCTGGGCCAACCAGGTGTATGTGTGGGTTGTCCATGGAAGGAAAAGACTGCAAACCATTTATAGGAGGATCTCAAAGGCTTATCCAGGTGCAGGGGTGGTATTGAGGTCTTACAATGAAGAGTGGTGTGAGTGGGGAGGGTCATTCTTGGATGCCCTCGTTCATGAGGAAGTGGTTGTCTTTGTGCGATGAGGAAGGATCAGCTGCTGTAAAACTTCCTCTGAGAAGTGGAGAAGAGGAGTTCCCCACCATCCTCCCCTGAACCCATTGCTACGAGGAGGAGTGGGGAAGCTTCCCAACAATGGTTGGTAAAAATCATCTGGTTTTCCTCCAGCTGGTCACGTGCTCAGGTGCATTTAAAGAGGGTTCCCTGCGGATCATCCGGAACGGCATCGGGATTCACGAACACGCCAGCATTGACTTACCGGGGATTAAAGGTGTGTGAGCTGCTCAGAGCTGTCAGACACAACCCACAACCCTGAGAGAGCCCACTGGGGACACAGACTGAGGGTGGGCTGTGGAGCAGGGGACTTGCTACCCATCAGCTTTTGGGATGGTCGCTGTGAGCAAATGTGACCTCTCTTTGTCACAGGTTTGTGGCCCCTGAGGTCGGACTGTCATCGTGAAACAGACAATACCTTGGTGTTGTCCTTTGTTGGCCAGACCAGGTAAGGTGGGATTAACTCTGAGTCAGGCTCTCAGCCAGGTGTTGGAGTGTGATATAACAGGAGTTGCCTTTCCTCTTCAGGGTTCTTATGTTAAATGGAGAGGAAGTAGAAGAAACAGAGCTCACAGGGTTTGTGGATGATCAGCAGACTTTCTTCTGCGGCAATGTGGCCCATCAGCAATTGATCCAGGTAATGCAGATGGGTCTCATGGTGACCCTACAGCCCTTATTGCTTGTGGGGCTGACCTAGACCCACCTTCCTTATCACTGACAGGGTTTGCAGTGCTTCCCTGGGCCCATGTCAGAAGGGAGGTGTTGTTCTGGCTCTGAGCAGAGATGTTCTCTCTCCCCAGATCACCTCTGCCTCTGTGAGACTGGTTAGTCAAGAGCCCAAAGCCCTGGTGAGTGAATGGAAAGAACCCAATGGAAAGAACATCAGCGTGGCTTCCTGCAACAGTAACCAGGTGGTGGTGGCTGTGGGACGAGCCCTGTACTACCTGGAGATCCGACCCCAGGAGCTCAGGCAGATCAGGTGAGTGAACATCTCTTGTCCTCACCTGAGGGCTCTCAGCCTCTGCTGTCTGTCTTTGGGCTCCAGACTGACACCTCTGTCTGCTTCCTCCTTCCTGCCAGCTGCACAGAAATGGAGCATGAAGTTGCTTGCCTGGACATCACCCCTTTGGGGGACACTAACGGCATGTCCCCTCTGTGTGCAATCGGGCTCTGGACTGACATCTCTGCCCGCATCCTCAAGCTGCCTTCGTTTGAACTGCTGCACAAGGAGATGCTGGGAGGAGGTAGGGCTCTCCTGGGGCTGGTGGCTGTGGTCACTGATCTACCTGAGTTGTGAGTGACATCAACCTTCTCTTCTGCTCCCTGCAGAAATTATCCCTCGCTTTTTTTTTTCCTCTCTCCATCTTGCTGACAACTTTGGAAAGCAGCCACTACCTGCTGTGTGCCCTGGGGGATGGAGCTCTCTTCTACTTTGGGCTCAGCCTCGAGACAGGTGACTACAGGGCCTGGCACTGAGCGGGCTGCTGGAGAGGGTGACTGGGCTCCTGCCCTCTTGTTTGACACAATTTCCTTCATCTTTCTGGAGAGAGAGCTTTTTTTTTTCTTGTGTTCTCACGGTGATGGGGTTGTTCTCAGGTGGGACTGGCTGTGGGCACTGGGAGTTGGTGGATTTCTCCAGCAGACTCTGGAGGATCCCAGACTGGTTTGGGTGGGAAGGGACCTTCAAGCTCCTGCAGTTCCAACCCCCCTGCCAGCAGCAGGGACACCTTCCACTAGACCAGGTTGCTCAAAGCCTCATCCAACCTGGCCTTCAACACTTTTTTGGGGGAGAACCAGCCACAGCTTCTCTGGCCAACCTGGGACACTGTCTCACCACCCTCACAGTTGTGGCAGCTCCCAACCCCGCTGCTCCTTCCCTGCAGGCTTGCTGAGTGACCGCAAGAAGGTGACCCTGGGGACCCAGCCCACTGTCCTGAGGACTTTCCGCTCTCTCTCCACCACCAATGTCTTTGCCTGCTCTGACCGCCCCACCGTCATCTACAGCAGTAACCACAAGCTGGTCTTCTCCAATGTCAACCTGAAGGAGGTGAACTACATGTGTCCCCTCAATTCGGATGGGTATCCTGACAGGTGAGCCTGGCTTATGTGACATGGGGTGAGGGAGGTTGGGATGCTGCCGTGGGATCCTGGGATCAGCAGTTTTGAGGGGGTTGGAGATGAGGGAGGTTCTTGCTGTTCCATCCACCTTAGAAGTGTCATCACTCATGGGTTTTTTTTCCCCCCCATACAGCTTGGCTTTGGCCAATAACAGCACCCTGACAATTGGCACCATCGATGAGATCCAGAAGCTGCACATCCGCACGGTTCCCCTCTATGAATCACCCAGGTGAGCTGAGCAGGGGGAGGCAACCTGGCTTGAGGACCCCTGCTCTGCTGCACAGGATGAGTTTGAGGGGAGACTTCGTGGTCAGCGTTCCTGTTGTGGGCTCGGTCAGCACACAGACTGAATTGGTGACTTGTGCTGAGAGCAGCAAGCCAACAACTCTGCCTCTTGTCACCAGAACCTCTGTGCTCTCCTTGGAGTGGCCTTTCCTGGTTCTCCTGCCCACACAGCTCTGTTTGTCCCACAGGAAGATCTGCTACCAAGAGGTATCTCAGTGCTTCGGCGTGCTCTCAAGTCGTATCGAGGTGCAGGATGCCAGTGGGGGCACGACTGCGCTCAGACCCAGCGCCAGCACCCAGGTGAGGGGTAGCTGCTAGATCATCCCTGAGCTCCATGACTGTCATAGTTCTTCAGATCAAACCATGATGGAGATTTTCCTTGACAATCTTCTCTTCCAAAGCTCTGAGTGCAAGCTCTGCCTTTGGCAGCCTGGGAGGAGATGGGGTGGTAAGATCTCTCTGTGGTGGTGAGAAGGGCTCTCTGGATGGATCTCTGTCCACTTTGGCATGTTCACTGTTCCATCAGATCACCTTTGTGTTTGGGTGCTGCTCCTTCAGTCTCCCATACAGGTTTCTCTTTGGTCACAAGTGGTTTTCTTCTCCCAGGGGTGGAGGCACAAGTCTTCTTCAGGCAGTAGCTCTGGTGAAAGCCACAACTTTGCCTAAACTCTTCTATTAATGCTGCTGCTCAGCAGTGGTACATCTACTGTGCATGTCACACATCTCTGCTGGTGCAGGGAGTGTTCCTTCACTCAGGCCCAGGGACCTCCTTCCTTCACCTTCTCTCCCACTGATTCTCCTGGTTCCCAGTTGCCTCAGCTGGTGTGGAGCAGCGTGAGGATATTCCAAGTAGCACAAGGATGTGACTGATCTTATTGTGTCCTAGGCCTTGTCCAGCAGCGTGAGCACCAGCAAGCTGTTCTCCAGCAGCACAGCACCACATGAGACATCCTTTGGAGAGGAGGTGGAGGTGCACAACCTGCTCATCATAGATCAGCACACCTTCGAAGGTACCGGTCCCAAATGCTGACCATACCCTAGTCCAGTTTTCTCCTCCAGGATAAGCCCATCGGTGTGTGGCTGAGACTTGTGATCTTCACAGATGATCTTGTGAAGATCTCTGATCATAGAATCCCAGACTGGTTTGGGTGGGAAGGGACCTTAAAGCTCATCCAGTTCCACCCCCCCTGCCAGCAGCAGGGACCCCTTCCACTAGACCAGGTTGCTCAAAGCCTCATCCAGCCTGGCCGAGAACACTTCCAGGGAGGAGCAGCCACAGCTTCTCTGGCCAACCTGGGACACTGTCTCACCACCCTCACACCAAACAATTTCTTCCTCACATCTCATCTCCATCTCCCCTCTGACACTTTCAACCCATCACCCCTTGTTCTGTCACTCCCTGCCCTTGGCCAAAGTCCCTCCCCAGCCTTCCTGGAGCCCCTTCAGGTACTGGGAGGCCACTAGAAGGTCTCCCCGGAGCCTTCTCTTCTCCCGGCTGAACAGCCCCAACTCTCTCAGCCTGTCCTCACAGCAGAGCTGCTCCAGCCCTCGCATCATCCTTGTGGCCTCCTCTGCACTGGCTCCAGTAGCTCCATGTCCTTGTGCTGTTGGTGGCCCCAGAACTGGATGCAGCACTGCAGGGTGGGGTCTCACAAGATCTTACACATTTCCTTCAGTCAAAGCATTTTTCCTGCTTTTTTTTTTTGAATGAACTTGATGATCTTCAAGGTCTTTTCCAACCAAAACAATTCTGTGATTCCTGGAGGAGCATCAGCCATAGGTTTAAGGCATAGTGGTTTCTTTGATGGTGCAAGGTGGTGGTGGGGAATAGGAGAGGGGATCTCCAGGTGACCATCTTGGACATGTCTGAAGTTTTCAGCTGCTCCTAGGCAAGCTGCTCTGCCCATACCTGGAGGTGCTGCCTGTTGGGACCTGGAGGACCCAGTTGTTTCTGCTTTTCCCTTTGCCCAGTGCTTCATGCTCACCAGTTCCTGCAAAACGAATACGCCCTCAGCCTGGTCTCCTGCAAGCTTGGCAAGGATCCAAACACCTACTTCATCGTGGGCACTGCCATGGTGTATCCCGAGGAGGCAGAGCCCAAACAGGGCCGCATCGTTGTCTTCCACTACTCAGATGGTAAGAGCAAGGTCTTCTCACATGACCAAGTCCAGCTGCTTGAGGGAGATCGGAGATGAGCTCCTCAGGCCCAAGAGAGCTCAGGTCCCAGCAGCAGGCAGAGGTTTTTCTCTCAGGGCCTGCTCTCCACTGCCCACAGACACGATGTGTAGGTGCTGTCACTCTCCTGTGGCTATCCCAGCGTGTTCCCTTTCCCCCTGTATCCTAGAGAAGCCCAAGAATCCCTCACCAGAACTGGATTCTGGGAGTTGCTTTCTGTGTGTCTGTCCCTGTGGTCACATCACTCCTGTGTCACTTACCCACAGATCCCCTGAGACCGTTTCAAAGGGAATCAGTGTTGTTTTGAGCAGCTCACCTGGGTTTGTCACCCTTGGGAGCACAGGACAACTAACAGGGTGGTGTGTGGGTTTATTCCAGGGAAGCTGCAGAGCCTGGCTGAGAAGGAGGTCAAGGGAGCCGTGTACTCCATGGTGGAGTTCAACGGGAAGCTGTTAGCCAGCATCAACAGCACGGTAGGGCTCTTGCAAGACCCTGACTTGTTTTGGGAGCACATTTCAGAGCTGGAAGCTGCTCGAGTTGTGTGGGTGTCAGCCAGGTCCATGATCTCTGCTGGGGAGTGTGTCCTGGCTGGCATGGGTGTCCGTGCTGGCTCAGAGCTGTCCCCCATCCTTCAGGTGCGCCTCTACGAGTGGACAGCAGAGAAGGAGCTGCGCACGGAGTGCAACCATTACAACAACATCATGGCTCTCTACCTGAAGACCAAGGGAGACTTCATCCTTGTGGGAGATCTGATGCGATCTGTCCTCCTCCTTGCATACAAACCCATGGAAGGAAACTTTGAGGAGGTATCAGTGCTTGGTTGAAGGGCTGCTGGAAGCCTGTGCTGCCTGTTCCTATAGAGTCTGGGCAGGGGGAACGATGTTTAAGGTGCTAACAGAAGGAGCTTGGCTCAGCCCACCTTGCCAGCCCTTTGAAGACAGGGATTTAGGGCTGTGCAATGAGAGCAGCATCACCTGGACATGCTTTTAGACAGATCCCTGTGGTTTCTGGAGGGATGGATCCAAGGGTTTCCAGGGAACTGGGCAATGAATTAGCAACCTTGAGAAGAACAGGCTTTGGGTGAGTGCCTGGTGCCTGCCAGGGTGGGGAGCTGCCATCTGGAGTTGTACAGTTGGAACAGCTCCGTGTGACTGTGGCTGCATCTCTGTTGACAAACACAGTGTAGAACTGAGGGAACTGGGGTTGTTGAGCCTGGAGAAAAGGAGGCTGAGGGGAGACCTTGTGGCTCTGTGCAAGTCCCTTGGAGGAGGGTGGAGAGAGGTGGGGGTGGGTCTGTTCAACCAAGGCCCAAGGGACAGGACAAGAGGAAATGGGCTCCAGTTGTGGCCAGGGCAGTTGAGATGGGATGTGAGGAAGAATTTCTTTGCTGCAAGGGTTCTGAGGCATTGGAAGGGGTTGCCCAGGGCAGTGGTGGAGTCCCCATCCCTGGAGGGATTGAAGAGTCGTGTAGACACAGTGCTGAGGGACATGGGTTAGTCATAGGGGACTGGTCAGTGGTGGGTTCATGGTTGGACTCGATGATCTCAAAGGGCTTTTCCAGTCGAGCCAATTCTGTGTCTATTCTGTTTCTGTAGCTGGGGATGAAGCAGGCGTGGGGACAGTCTGTGCCCTTAAATTGTTAGAGTGGCTCTGGCCATGGCTTGGCACGAGCTGGTCTGAGTTTGCCCAGGGGATTGTCTGAGTGTCACTGGGACCAGGGCCATCAGCTGCTTCATCCAGCAGAGAGGGACAGACTGGATCCCACCTCACTCCTGAATGTTACAGTTGAGTGAAAGAAAAATGCTGGATGAGAGAACAGACCATCTGTGCCCACTGCCTCTCCTCTTGTCCCCTTCCAGATTGCCCGGGACTTCAATCCAAACTGGATGAGTGCTGTGGAAATCCTGGACGACGACAACTTCTTAGGAGCAGAGAACGCTTTCAATTTGTTTGTGTGCCAGAAGGACAGGTGAGCTGGCTGTGAGGGGATGTGGCAGCGTGTGACAGGAGGGATGGGGTGATAGGACCTTCTGGTCTCCTCCACATTAGAGCTACAGAGGCCTGTGTGTCAGGCAGGAAAGCTGGGAGGAGCATGAACATTCCCAGCTCTGAGGAGCAGGGGAAGCTTTCATGTCACCCCAGCACACACTGAACAAGGTGCTTTGGATTTCAGCGCGGCCACAACCGATGAGGAACGCCAGCACTTGCAGGAGGTGGGGTTGTCCCACCTGGGAGAGTTTGTCAATGTTTTCTGTCACGGATCTCTGGTCATGCAGAACCTGGGTGAGACGTCCACACCAACTCAGGGCTCGGTTCTCTTCGGCACAGTCAACGGCATGATTGGTAAGGGTCAGGGATCACCAGCCTGAGCAGGAGGAGGGTGACAGGTCCCCTTCCCT